CAATTCAGAATATATTTTAAGATCCTTCTTCTCACATATAAAGCTCTTAATAATCAAGCTCCATCATACATCAGTGATCTGATTGTTCCATACGTTCCTAACCGAGCACTTCGCTCTCAGACTGCAGGTTTACTGGTGGTTCCCAGAATATCTAAAATTAGAATGTGAGGCAGCTCTTTTAGCTATCAGGCTCCTCTCTTGTGGAACCAGAACCCAGCTTTAGTCCGTGAGGCAGACACTTTGTCTACTATTAAGAATAGACTTAAAAATTTTTATTTGATAGGGCCTATGGTTAAAATCTGATGTTAGCCCAGATCTGGACAAGTGGGGGATATAGCGTCACACTTTATAGCATAACTACTGCATATATAAGCAATATCACACGAGAGGGAGTGTGTAGTGATGGGAATTCCGGCTCTTTTTAGAGAGCCGGTTCTTTTGGCTCTGCTCACCAAAAAGAGCCGGCTCTTTCGGCTCCCAAGTGGCTCCTCAGATTTTCTGTTGCGTAAAGTATATTTATCACCAAAAATAATGCTAAACTATATGTAAAATGATTTTCTAATGTAAAAAAATGCAATATATCAAATATTTATAATTTATATGGATTTATTAACTGAACACTTTAAGAAATCTCAACTTTCCGACTGCTGTTGCCCATTTTCTCACCGTCTTCGTCGCACTCTCCTCTCTTGCTTGCCTTTTTCCTTCTCATTTCCTCTCGTCTCCCTCCGCCCGCATGTGCTGTGTTGTGTGTCTGTCTGAGTCTGATCCTCCCTCTTCCCTGCCCCCACTGCTCTGTGTGTGGACAGTCTGGACACGCAGTTACACATGTTGACCAATCGCCTGTGTTTTCACCAAGACGGGTGGGTGGGGGTGGGGGCTGGGTGGCTCCCGATGACGAACCGGCTCCTGTTGTTCACTTCATAGAGCCGGCTCCTAGAGCCGGTTCATTCACGACCGACACATCACTAGGAGTGTGATGTTGCTGAATATCAGCACTGGTGTGATTCGGTCGTAGGTACGAGGCCGCAGGCTGAGTGCCGTAGATAATCACACCAGTTCAGCAACAACGCACGACCTTGAGTGTGATATTGCTTTTATACAACAGTTCTACCTGCTCATTTTATTTTTATAACAACAGTAAGCAACAACAGATTATGATTTGTTCATTTATTTAATCATTGCTGTCTGCTACAGACTAGAGAGTTGATTATTAATAAAACAGCATCAGACGCAATCTGTTGTGTCTAAGAACTCTGATCACAGACCCCCATTCAGATCCGGAATGTCAGGAAGTCGTTTCGACCTCAAGGCACCGAAGTCCGTAGAATAACCGCAGTACGACCAGACCGGTCTCGAGTTAGTTCCCAGGCACGGAAGCATCAGGAGTGAGGAAAGTAAGACCCCACACAGGAAATAGTAATCCCACATAGCGATATCCACAGGCAGGAACCAAGATGAGCAGGAAACAGACCAGATCCCAGCAACAAACAGAAATCCAAAGAGATCCAGGAAACCATTGCAGGAAACCCATAGGACGTCCAGAACCAGAAGAACCAGAACCGAGAGCAGCAGGGAGCAGAACCAGGTGACGAAGCAGAGATGTTATCCCAGGAAGCAAAGACATCTGGTGAAACTCAGCAGAGTAGACGCACACACACACACACACACACACACACACACACGCACTTACGCACGCACGCACACACACACACACACACACACGCACGCACGCACGCACACACACACACACACACACACACACACACACACACACACACAGGGCACTTGACTGTAGACACATAGATGGCGTCTGATGCAAAAGAACAAACAACAAGAAACCTAGTACTATATGTACCTGTATGTGCTGTGTGAACTAGAGGAGGGAAAAATGATCGATTCTAAGATGCATCGCGATTCAGCCGTGCACGATTCCGCATCGATGCAGCAACGTGACATAACGAGATTTTCTCCCTATGTCTA